TTCAGTTGGTAAATCTAAGTGTGTATGTTGTATTAAGTGTAAGAAACAGCAATAAAAAAACCAAGAATACTTCTCCAGGACATGTGAGTTCTTAACAAAAACGGCTACTGACAGGTACCCCATCATTTGTTTTCTCTTTCATTAAAGTATCAGAATCAATTTCCTTAAAAAATCTATGAAAAAAGCCATCTTTCTTTTAGGAAATTATGAAACTCGCTTGCGAGCACTGTTGACCACCATGGACACAGAAGCCTGGAGCTGTCCGAGGACACAGGAGACAGCCCAGGTCGCGGTGCCCTTCTCCAGAAGCAAGCATTCCCAGTTTGTTTGGAGCAGGAGGTGAACAGAGAGCAGAGGCCCCTCTAGCCTGGCAGCCGTCCCTCCGTCCCTCCGTCCCTCCATCCCTCTGTGAAGCTGGCCCAGCTTCCTGGGGCCCCGGGGTATCGCCCACCTGCACCACCACCTCTGTTTGCAGCCCAGGCCCCGCCACTGCCTCTGAGTCAAGACCAGGACCGGGGCTCTCCCCTCCACTGTCTGTGCCCCGCTCCCTTTAGGAGCTGAGTGGTGTTCCCTAAACAGTCGTGTCCTAGTCCTCCCACCCAGGACCTCAGAAGGGGACTGTATCTGCAGATGGGGTCCTTAAAGAGGCAATTATGGTAAAATGAGGTCACTGGGTGGGTCCTAACAAAATGAGCGGTGTCCGTGTAGGAAAAAGAGATTTGGACCCAGACACCCACACCGTGGGAGGACACACTGAGAAGACAGCCGTCCCAGCCCAGGAGAGACCAGCCCTGTTGGCACCTGCTTCTGGGACGCCCCCTCCAGAGCTGCAGGGACAGACATCTGTGCTGCATTGTCACTGTCACCCTGGCAAACGATCACAGCCTCTCCTGCTCCATGATACATGGCTCCAGGCCACCAAAAAGAGGCGTCAAAACTCGTTCATTGGTGAGTCAGTTTGCTGTATATAATGCGTAATAATGTAAACTGTGCAGTGGCGTGTGTGCAATGACACTGTGCACAATACGTTTAGATGCTATGAATTAATACATTAATACACTGTATAATTAATGTATAGTGTATTATATAACATATTCTATGCTGCAGTGTAACAATGCATTCTATGTGATACAGATAGACTTGTACGTTGTGTAATACAATATGCATTACATACCATAATATTAAATGTATACAAAAACGAAGTATGAGCGTGAAACAGAGAGTTCCTATTTTATGCAAACCATGAAAATGTACTCAGTTCTAAAAACTTTCCAAAAGTAAGATGCTTATAAAATACTTCAAATAAAAACTGTAAAAATCAAGCTGCCTCCACTGGACTTGCGCTTCTGGGAAGATGTAAGGGACATGTTTTCTTCCTGCTAAGTACGAACAAAGGCAGCGAAGAGTCTCTACACACGAACAGAAAGGCAGAGAGGAGAAGGCGGACAGCGGAGAACTCAGGACCCAAGGGGAAACGGGGGTGAAGTCCTTGGGTTTCTTTTTGCCTTACATCCCAGCCCCAGAGCTGCAGATCCCGGCCACCCAGGAGTGCGAGCAGGCGTGAGCCAGAAAAGCCCCCAGAGAAGCCTGCTGTCTCGGCACAGGACCAGGAGAGGGGCAGCCGGACGGCACGGGAACATCTAGACAACGCCCGCTGCGCTCCTTCCAAACCCCCAAGGAAAACCACGGCCCCGGCCCCGGCCCCACCAGCAAGGGCCGAGCAAGGGGGGACCTGCTCCCCAGGCCATCCAAGTGCAAAGAGTTGCCGCGGACGCCCGGCCAGGGTGTGTCGCAAAAGGCCAGGGAGTGGGTGGGCCGAGAACTCATCCCCAATGGGGGCATGGAGACCCCTCCTCCCTGGGGTAATGAGGAGTCCCTCCCACTCCCCATGGAGTGATGTCAAACTTTCATCACCCCGGGCAGTGACAGCATAGTCCGAGCAGGGAGCAGTGACACGGCACCCCTCTCCGTCCAGCCAGGGTGGAGGCCAGAAGCCCCACTCCCACCCAGCAGCATGAGAAGCCCTTCCTCCTGCAGGTGCCAACCAAGGCCAGAGGGCGGCCCTGGATTTCTAGCTCACCTGGCAGGGACCAGGCCGAGGCCCCTTTCCCCTGCTGGAGTGATGTGAGAGGAAGTCAGATAAAAATAGGTTTCATGAACTTGCAGATTCTCATTATGTAATACCTAACATGTCCAAATTTCATCTGAAAATCACTCATTCTACTGACAATCAGGAACATCTCAACCTGAATACAAAATAAGACAGTCTACAGACACCAGCACCACCATGCCAGCACGCTGGAATTATATGACAAGGATTTTACAGCAACCATCAGAAACATGCTTCAGTGAGTAATTATAAACACACCTGAAACAAATAAAAGAACAAAAAGTCTTAGCAAACAGAAGATACAAAGGGAAACAAAAGGAAATTTAGAACAGAAAAGTAAAATAACTGAAATTTTTTTAAACTCAGTACACAGACTCAACAACATGAAAACAGAGGAAAAATCCATGAACAGGACGACAGAAATCACCCAGTCAAGACAGCGAGAAGAAAAAACAGGGAAGGGGGAAAAAACGGACGTCACAGGCCCTGCAGGTGGAAAAACCTCGCATTCATGGCAAGAGTCCCTGGAAGGACGGGGGGGCGAGAGCGAGTCTGAAAAACTATTCAATGAAATGATGACTAAAAAATCTCCAAATTTGGCAAAAGACATAATCCTAAAGATTCAAGAAGCTGAGAAAATGCCAAACAGGATAAACTCAAAGACATCCATTCCAAAAAACATCATGGCCACGTGACGAAAGTATGAGAACAAAGAGAAAAATCTTGAAAATAGCTGCAGGAAAGAACACCTTTTCTCTGCGGGAAACACCGTCTGACGGAGAGTGAGTTCCCTCCAGGAATTAGAATCCACAGCGCTCTTTACGCAGAGGAAGAAACGCGCTGTTAACCCAGCCCCCTGTATGCGTAAGACACCTTCCAGGAAGACGGGAATTCAAGACTTCCTCAGGCGAAGAAAAAGAGGAAGTTACTGCTCACAGACCTCGCCTGACCGAGGAGCTGGACGAAGTTCTCCGGGCAGAAAGAAGGCTCTAGAAGAAGAGCCTTGGGCAGCAGGAAGTGAGAACGATGGAAAGAATAAAACCACGCGTCCAGGCGATGCGCTGCGCCTCGCCCGCTGAGTTCTCTAAATTGCTCTTAGTGGTTGAAACAAAAGCTGCAACACTTTCCGATGTGGCTCTGAAAGTAGGTGGAGGGAAGATTTAAGACAATTGTATTTTAAGCGAGGTTATAAATGGGGCAGAGAGGGAGGAGGAGTCTCCAAATGTTACTCAGAGTGGAAAATATTGGCACCAGGAGCCTGTGGTTAAAACAACAACAACTTCTATAAAGAAAGAGATACATTTAAAAACACAGAGATAAATCCAAATGGAAGTCAAAAAAAAGTGTTCAACTAACCCAGAGAAAGCCATGAAAAAAGACACAGAGAAAAGAAAATAAACAAACAGAAAAGGAAAATAAAATGGTAGCTTTAAGGCATAACAATGAATAATTTCATGAAATGCAGTGGTCTAAATACATCATTTAAAAGACAAAGATTGGCCCAGTGGGTTGAAAATCATGACACAACTACATATTGCCAACAAGAAACCATACAGAAAAAGACATACCATGCAAACGTTAACTAAAAGAGATAAGAGAGTTATATTAACATCAGATAAAGCAGACTTCCAGCTAAAAAAAAAATGACCTGTGACATTATGATACGAGGGTCAGGCCACCGGGAGGACGTAGCAATCCCGCACGTGTGTGCCCCAAACAACAGGGCTGCAT